GAAAGGATACTTGTTCAGGCCTTGGTGGTGCGGCTATGTGTTTGTAAAATGGTCACTGTTTTGTGTTTTATTTACACTGTAAGTTGTTAATGTATGTAAATAAAATATATTTTAAATTAAACTTACTTAAAACAGAACCACAGGTGAAAGACAAGAGAGCTGTACTGTTCTAGTACAATAATAATAATAATAATAATAATAATAATAATAATAATAATAATTACACAGGAGGATTGATGTCTGAAAAGAGAGAAACCAAACCTGTAGATCCAACTTTCATATTCAAAGACGTTGAAGGCACTTTTATGCTTTCCAAAACTAGACGATAATGTTCTCCCTCAGGGATATCATGATGTAAAAGCAAGTATATCCATTAAAATGGAGTCAATTACACCTACTAATATTTGGATAGTGTATGTAATTTAGAATGCATTTCAAAAACTCTTAAAAGGCAGCAAGACTAGACCCAGACAATCCATCGTGTCTGGTAGCAAATTTAATCTGTTTGTATCTCCAAAAAGAGAATGGCCTTCGCAATCAGAGAAGTGGCGATGGTACTACAAATAGGCCATCTTAACGTTCACTGAAAAGGAACCAAGTGGCAAAGAAGGTTAAATAGGGATAGCCAAGGGAAAGGTTTTCCTCTTGACATTAAGTCTAGTTGTGGTGGTTGGCGCTCATTGCCATTTTTAACCGAAGAGCTGGTGTTGTCTGGTCATGTGGCTGGCATGACTGCATGGAACGCCGTTAGTACCATACATTCCCATATTGTACTATACCATTATACTGTAATATTATTAGTAATCTATATAAATAAAAACGTAATGTTCGTTTCTGGGATTAACAGAACTCAAAAACCATTGGACGAATTGATATCAAATTTGGGCACAAGACACCTAGCAACCCAATGTATGTCCTTCACTCAAAAAATTGATTTTGTCATTTGGGAGTTGTTGCTGCTGGGATTTATAGTTCACCTACAATCGCAGAGCATTCTGAACCCCACCAACGATGGAATTGAACCAAACTTGGCACACAGTTCTCCCATGACCAACAGAAAATACTGGAAGGGTTTGGTGGGCATTGACCTTGAGTTTGGGAGTTGTAGTTCACCTACATCCAGAGAGCACTGTGGACTCAAACAATGATGGATCTGGACCAAACTTGGCATGAATACTCAATATTCCCAAGTATGAACACATTGGTTGCGTTTGGAGGAAATAGACCTTGGCATTTGGGAGTTGTAGTTGCTGGGATTTATAGTTCACCTACAATCAAAGAGCATTCTGAACTCCACCAATGATGGAATTGAATCAAACTTGGCACACAGAACTCCCATGACCAACAGAAAATACTGGAAGGGTTTGGTGGGCATTGACCTTGAGTTTTGGGTTGTAGTTCACCTACATCCAGAGAGCACTGTGGACTCAAACAATGATGGATCTGGACCAAACTTGGCACGAATACTCAATATGCCCAAATGTGAACACTGGTGAGTTTGGGGGAAATAGAATCTTGACATTTGGGAGTTGTAGTTGCTGGGATTTATAGTTCACCTACAATCACAGAGCATTCTGAACCCCACCAACGATAGAATTGGGCCAAACCTCCCACACAGAACCCCCATGTGGGCCACAGCAATGCGTGGCAGGGGACGGCTAGTCTATAGAAATAAAAATGTAATGTTCGTTTGTGGGATTAACATAACTCAAAAACCACTGGACGAATTGACACCAAATTTGGACACAAGACACCTAAAACCCAATGTATGTCCTTCACTCAAAAAAAATGATTTTGTCATTTGGGAGTTGTAGTTGCTGGGATTTATAGTTCACCAATCAAAGAGCATTCTGAACCCCACCAACGATGGAATTGAACCAAACGTGGCACACAGTTCTCCCATGACCAACAGAAAATACTGGAAGGGTGTCCTTTGGTTCTGGAGTTGTAGTTCACCTACATTCAGAGATCACTGTGGACTCAAACAATGATGGATCTAGACCAAACTCTACACGAATACTCAATATGCCCAAATGTGAACACTGGTGGAGTTTGGGGAAAATAGAATCTTGACATTTGGGAGTTGTGGTTGCTGGGATTTATAGTTCACCTACAATCACAGAGCATTCTGAACCCCACCAATGATAGAATTGGGCCAAACCTCCCACACAGAACCCCCATGTGGGCCACAGCAGCACGTGGCAGGGGACGGCTAGTATTACATATCATATGAAATATATAATTATTATATTGTATTAATATTAGTATTATATTGTATTACATTATAACATTATTATCAATATGTCAGAACAGGTACATTTTAAAAGTGTAACGACAGCCAAATAAATATATGCTATCCAAAGCTTATATATGAGGGTGGGTCAAAAAGTAACACCTCCATCGCTCTAACTTTTATTTCTTTCACAGCTACTGGACTATCTATGCATGATAGGATAGAGGTAACTCTACTTTACTGATATAGTTTTTTGTTTTTCATATTGACTAATTAGAACCATGAATCTGAAGCTAGAAGAAAGAGTCGTCATTGAATTTCTGGCAAAAGAAGGTTGCGCACCTAAGGAAAACCATCACCACTTGAAGAATGTTTATGATTTGACCCCTTCTGACCTGTTTGGACCCCTGAAAGACTCAAAAAGCAGGGGAATGCCAGACAGGCTGCTTGCTGCTTGGGGGTCCTTTGTTTGGAGGTGTTAGCTGGCCCTGATTGATTCTTGTCTGGAATTCCCCTGTTTTTTGAGTCTTGCTCTTTATTTACTGTCCTGATTTTAGAGTTTTTGAAAGGATCTCCCAAGCAGCAATCAACCAGGCTTCGATGCTACAAGTCCACTAAATTCTAATCAAGCTCACCAATTGCAACATTGACATTTGCCACAAGCAGACAAGAGTTCTTTCTCCCACCCTGGACATTCCACAGATATATAAACCCCACTTGCCTAGTTTCCAACACACCTCACAACCTCTGAGGATGCCTGCCATAGATGTGACCAAAACGTCAAGAGAGAATGCTTCTGGAACATACAGCCCAGAAAACTCACAACAACCCAGTGATTCCAGTCATGGAAGCCTTCGATAACACATTATATATAGCTGGAGTTACACCTGTTCTGACTTACATGCAAATTCAACCTCCAGAGCAGTGTTTCTCAACTTGGGGGTCAGGACCCCTGGGGGGGGGGGTCATGAGAGGGGTGTCAGAGAGGTGGCCAAAGACCAGTTGAAAACACAGTATTTTCTGTTGGTCATGGGGAGTCTGTGTGGGAAGTTTGGCCCAAATCTATCATTGGTGGGGTTCAGAATGCGCTTTCATTGTAGGTGAACTACAAATCCCAGCAACTACAACTCCCAAATGTCAAGGTCTTATTTCCCCAAACTCCCCCAGTGTTCAAATTTGGGCATAATGAGTATCTGTGCCAAGGTTGGTCCAGATCCATCATTGTTTGAGTCCACAGCACATTTTGGATGTAGGTGAACTATAACTCCCAAACTCAAGGTCAATGACTCTTTCAGTATTTTCCCTTGGACATGAGAGCTCTGTGTGCCCACTTTGGTTCAGTTCCATCATTGGTGGAGCTCAGAATGCTCTTCGATTGTCAGTGAACTACAAATCCCAGCAACTACAACTCCCAAATGTCAAGGTCTATTTTTCCCAAATTTGAGCAGTGTTCACATTTGGACATATTGAGTATCTGTGCCAAGGTTGGTCCAGACCCATCATTGTTAGAGTCCACAGTGCTATCTCGATGTAGGTGAACTACAACTCCACAAACTCAAGGTCAATGCCCACCAAATTCTTCGAGTATTTTCTATTAGTCATGGGAGTTCTCTGTACCAAGATTGGCTCAATTCCATCCTTGGTGGAGTTCAGAATGCTCTTTGATTGTAGGTGAACTACAAATCCCAGCAACTACAACTCCCAAATGTCAAGATCTATTTTTCCCAAATTCCAGCAGTGTTCACATTTGGGCATATTGAGTATCTGTGCCAAGGTTGGTCCAGACCCATCATTGTTAGAGTCCACAGTGCTATCTGGATGTAGGTGAACTACAACTCCACAAACTCAAGGTCAATGCCCACCAAATTTTTCCAGTATTTTCTATTGGTCATGGGAGTTCTCTGTACCAAGACTGGTTCAATTCCATCATTGGTGGAGCTCAGAATGCTCTTTGATTGTAGGTGAACTATAAATCCCAGCAACTAGAACTCCCAAATAACAATTTTCTGTTGGTCATGGAGAGTTCTGTGCCAAGTTTGGTTCAATTCCATCGTTGGTGGAGTTCAGAATGCTCTTTGTAGGTGAACTATAAATCCCAGCAACTACAACTCCCAAACATCAAGGTCTATTTCCCCCAATCCACCAGTGTTCACATTTGGGCATATTGAGTATTTGTGCCAAGTTTGGTCCAGATCCCATTGTTTGAGTCCACAGTGCTCTCTGGATGTAGGTGAACTACAACTCCAAAACTCAAGGTCAATGCCCACCAAACCCTGTTGGTCATGGGAGTTCTGTGTGCCAAATTCCATCATTGGTGGAGTTCAGAATGCTCTTTGATTGTAGGTTAACTATAAATCCCAGCAACTACAACTCCTAAATGACAAAATCAATCTCTCCTCAACCCCACTAGTGTTCAAATTTGGGCATATCAGGTATTTGTGCCAAATGTGGTCCAGTGAATGAAAATACATCCTGCATATCAGATATTTACATTATGATTCATAAGAGTAGCCAAATTACAGTTTTGGAAAATAATGTTATGGTTGGAGGGTCACCACAACATGAGGAACTGTATGAAGGGGTTGCGGCATCAGGAAGGTTGAGACCCACTGCAACAGAGCCTGTCTTGTTCGTAACTTGGGACGGGAGGTTGTAACTCCACAAGGAGAGCTGTGGTCCAGGAATGCCTGCCTCGAGGGGCTTCTCTTTCCTTCCTCCCTCCCTTCCCTCCCACCCCGACCCCGAGAAATGCCTCTAGGGGACTTACAGTACGATCCTTCGCGGGGTTTTTCACGGCGTCGGGTGGGCGAGGAAGGAAGGAAAGGCTGTGGAGGGAGAAGGCACCCGAGGAGGGCTCTAGTCTTCGTGGCTCTCCCTCCGAAGGTCTCACTCCGGTCAGGACTGGACAGCGCTCTCTCTGTGTGTCTTATCTATCTACCTCTCTTTCTCTCTCTCTCTTTCTCTCTCCGCCTCCGCGTCCTGAAGCGCCCTCCTCGACGCCCAGCTCCGGCCTGCCTCTTCCTCCTCCTCCTCGTCTCTGGAAGCAAAGGGAGGCGGGTCTCTGGAAGCCCCTCCAAAGCTGGGTCTCCCCTGCATCTGGGACTGCCCGATCCCAGCCCAAGACGCCGGGAAAAACCAGCCTGGATCCTTGAGCTCCTCCTAGAATCAGAGAATCCTAGAGTTGGAAGAGACCTCGTGGGCCATCCAGTCCAACCCCCTGCCGAGAAGCAGGGAAATCGCATTCAAAGCACCCCCGACAGATGGCCATCCCGCCTCTGCTTAAAAGCCTCCAAAGAAGGAGCCTCCACCACACTCCGGGGCAGAGAGTTCCACTGCTGAACGGCTCCTACAGGGCAGCAGAAAACAGGCTTGCTCCCTCTCCCCTAAGGCTTCCCCTCACATATTGATACATGGCCCTCATCATGTCTCTTCTCAGCCTTCTCTTCTGCAGGCTAAACATGCCGCTCCTCATAGGGCTTGTTCTCCAGATCTTTGATCATTTTAATCGCCTTCCTTTTTAAGCCGCTCCTCATAGGGCTTGTTCTCCAGATCTTTGATCATTTTAGTCGCATTCCTCTAGGCCAGCTGGGTCAATAATCCAGCCCTGGTCTGAATCATGAGAAAGAGCCCCACTACACTCTGAAGCAGAGAGTTCCACTGCTGAATGACTCCCACAGGGCAGCAGAAAACAGGCTTGCTCCCTCTTCCCTAAGACTTCCCCTCACATATTGATACATGGCTATCATGTCTCCTTCTCAGCCTTCTCTTCTTGGGCTAAACATGGCTAGCTCTTTAAGCCGCTCCTCATAGGGCTTGTTCTCCAGATCTTTGATCATTTAGTCATCAATAATCCAGCCCTGGTCTGAATCATGAGAAAGAGCCCCACCACACTGTGAGGTGGAGAGTTCCACTGCTGAACAGCTCCCACAAACAGGAAGTTCTTCCTAATGTTCAGGTGGGATCCTCCTTTCCTGTCGTTTGTTCCACTGCATCCTACTCTCCAGGGCAGCAGAAAACAGGCTTGCTCCCTCTTCCCTAAGACTTCCCCTCACATATTGATACATGGCCCTCACCATGTCTCTTCTCAGCCTTCTCTTCTGCAGCTTAAACATACCTAGCTCTTTAAGCTGCTCCTCATAGGGCTTGTCCTCCAGATCTTTGATAATTTTAGTCACCTTCCTCTAGGCCAGCTGGGTCAATAATCCAGCTCTGATCTGAATCATGAGAAAGAGCCCCACTACACTCTGAAGCAGAGAGTTCCACTGCTGAACGGCTTCCACAGGGCAGCAGAAAACAGGTTTGCTCCCTCTTCCCTAAGACTTCCCCTGACATATTGATACATGACCCTCACCATGTCTCTTCTCAGCCTTCTCTTCTGAAGGCTAAATATGTCCAGCTCTTTAAGCTGCTCCTCATATATCTTGTTCTCCAGATCTTTGATCATTTTAGTCGCCCTCCTCTAAGCCAGCTGGGTCAATAATCCAGCCCTGGTTGTAATCATGAGAAAAAGAAATAATTTGGTTTGGGGATAAATTGTTTGGCAAACTTTCTCAGCAGAGCTTGCAACCCACTGCTTGAGATTTCTCATCTATAGACCACCAGGAATTTGAACACACCCAGGAAAAGATTTAGGAACAGCTCATATGTCATTTAAAAGCATTATCAGGCTGAGTAGAATCCTAGAGTTGGAAGAGACCTCGTGGGCCATCCAGTCCAACCCCTGCCAAGACAAAGGGAAATTGCATTCAAAGCACTCCCGACAGATGGCCATCTTGCCTCTGCTTAAAAGCCTCCAAAGAAGGAGCCTCTGTTGGACCATGTAAGGAATCAGTGAATGCAGGCATGGGCAAACTTGGGCCCTCCCAGTGTTTTGTACTTCAACTCCCACCATTCCTAACAACTGCAGACCCTTTCCTTTTCCCCCTCAGCTGCTTAAGTGACTGAGGGGGAAAAGGAAGGGGCCTGAGGCTGTTAGGAATGCTGGGAGTTGGAGTCCAAAACACCCGGAGGGCCCAAGTTTAACAGACATCTAGATTTTATTGGTTGTATCTCCAGTCCAGGCTTATTGTCTGTAAGTACGTAGGTCAGCACAGTGCAAACCGGAAAATGCAACCAGCATGATACAAATAAAATAAAAAGTCAACAAAACGAAATATAAATACGTAAATATCCTTATTTTAATGTTTAATATGTATTCATTTAATTTAAATTTAAATTTAATGATTATTGGAATTGTATTTGTTCTAAGGCATTGAATAATTGCCTATATGTAAGCCGTCTTGAGTTCCCTTTGGGATAGAGAAAGGCAGGGTATAAATAGGGTAAATAAATAAAAATAAACGATTAAGGTTTCCAGATTCAGCCTAAATAAGGCATCCAATTGGTTTCCAATTTCAGGTGGCCAAGAATAATTCTTGCAAGATAAAATCACTAGCTTACAGCCTCACTTCTCTGATATAATTTTATTTATTTGCCTTATAAAATATGGGACATTAATTGGCTAATAAGGATATGCAAACACTTCTCAAGGCCTTGTAAAGGTAAAGGTTTTCCCCTGACATTAAGTCCAGTCGTGTCCAACTCTGAGGGTTGGTGCTCATCTCCATTTCTAAGCCGAAGAGCCAGTGTTGTCCGTAGACACCTCCAAGGTCCTGTGGCCAGCATGACTGCATGAACCGCTCTTACCTTCCCGCTGGAGTGGTACCTCTTGATCTACTCACATTTGCATGTTTTCGAACTGCTAGGTTGGCAGAAGCTGGGGCTAACAGCGAGAGCTCACACCACTCCCTAGATTCGAACCTGCGACCTTGTTGTCAAGGCCTTATAATCCTTATTAAATCTATATAAATAAAAATGTAATGTTCATTTGTGGGATTAACATAACTCAAAAACCACTGGACGAATTGACACCAAATTTGGGTACAATACACCTACTAACTCAAGGAGTGACCATAAAAAAATTATTTTGTCATTTGGGAGTTGTAGTTGCTGGGACTTATAGTTCACCTACAATCAAAGAGCACTCTGACCTCCACCAATGATGAAATTGAACCAAACGTGGCACACAAGGCTCCCATGACCAACAGAAAATACTAGAAGTGTTTGGTGGGAATTGACCTTGAGTTTGGGAGTTGTAGTTCACCTCCAGAGAGCACTGTGGACTCAAACAATGATCGATCTGGACCAAACTTGGCACAAATATTCCATATGCCCAAATATGAACGCAGATGGAGTTTCGGGGAAATAGACTTTGACATTTGGGAGTTGTAGTTACTGGGATTTATAGTTCACCTACAATCAAAGAGCATTCTGAACTCCACCGATGACAGAATTGGGGCAAACTTCCCATACAGAACCTCCATGACTAACAGAAAATACTTAAGGCCATCCAGTCCAACTCCCTTCACCAGGGCAAGAAAACGTAATCAGAGCCCTCCTGACAAAGAGCCATCCAGTCATAGATATAGATAGATATATATGATTCACACACACAGATATAGTATTATATATTTGAAAGGGACCCCTAAAGAAGGACAATTATATGTTGCATGTCCCAGAGTAGGCAAACCAGACAATCTCCACATCAACACTGACAAAGAAACAGCAAGAAATACTGTTTACCCACAAGCATAAAGAAATTACATATATTAGAAACCAACACTTTCTCATTATTTTATTTTCCAGAACACCAAACTGGGCCACAGCAACGTGTGGCAGGGGATCGCTAGTGCAAAATAAAATACAACAAAACTGTTGAACTACTTTTTAATAAGCCGGCAAGGTATATTTTCCTGATACCTTATCTTCAACATCATGTTTTTCTGTAACATATTATAGGAATGAACAGTTAAATGAAGGTGAAGATTCTCATCTCCTCTTATAAGTGGTGATAAAGGCAAACATAATAAAATATCTCAGCCTCGAGAACAGTAGAACATGGATACAGGCCAGCTACGCTGTAGAATGAATGCAGATGGACCTCACTTCAACTGCCAAGGCTTAATGCTATGGCTTCCTGGAAACTGTACTTTCTAAAGGTCATTATTCTTTTCTACCAAAGAATGATGAAGTTAAAAATCTCACAATGTTATAGTATTAAACTAGGCCAGTTATAGTGGCTTCAAAAAGCATGATTAATTCTAAAGAGTAGATGGGCCCCACATTAATTGAAACACGAAGTCTTTAGTTATATCAGCGTTTCTCAACCTGGGGGTCGGGACCACTGGTGGGGTCGCAAGGGGGTCTCAGAGGGGTTGCGAAATACCATCAGAAAACACAATGTTTTCTGTTGGTCATGGGAGTTCTGTGTGGGAGCTTTGGCCCAAATCTATCGTTGGTCGAGTTCAGAATGCTCTTTGATTGTAGGTGATCTCTAAATCCCAGCAACTACAACTCCCAAATGTCAAGGTCTATTTTTCCCAAACTCCCACATTTGTTCACATTTGGACATATTGAGTATTCATGCCAAGTTGGTCCACATCCTTCATTGTTTGAGTCCACAGTTGCTCTCTGAATGTAGGTGAACTACAACTCCAAAACTCAAGTTCAATGCCCACCAAATCCTTCCAGTATTTTCTGTTGGTCATGGGAGTTCTGTGTGCCAAGTTTGATTCAATCCCATCATTGGTGGAGTTCAGAATGCTCTTGGATTGTAGGTGAACTATAAATCCCAGAAACGGCAACTCCCAAATGTCAAGGTCTATTTTCCCCAAACGCCACCAGTGTTCACATTTGGGCATATTGAGTATTCATGCCAAGTTGGTACAGATCCATCATTATTTGAGTCCACAGTGCTCTCTGGATGTAGGTGAACTACAACTCCAAAACTCAAGGTCAATGCCCACCAAACCCTTCCAGTATTTTCTCTTGGTCATGGGAGTTCTGTGTGCCAACTTTGATTCAATTCCATCATTGGTGGAGTTCAGAATGCTCTTTGATTGTAGGTGAACTATAAATCCCAGCAACTACAACTCCCAAATGACAAAATCAACCCCCCCCAACCCCAACAGTATTCAAATTTGGATGTATCAGGTATTTGTTTAAAATTTGGTCCAGTGAATCAAAATACATCCTGCATATCAAATATTTACATTACGATTCAAAACAGTCGCAAAATACAGTTATGAAGTAGCAACGGAAATAATGTTAT